AATATATGCCTTAAATTGAATGTAGAAATAACTGTAATAGTAATAACCTATACGTCCAGAAATGTGCCAATGTGAGTGAACACTGTTATGAACACGCTGTAATGAGTGGAAATGTGTTTTTAATTGTGAAAATAAATTGTTTAATAAAGATTTTTAAAATTTAAAAAAAATACTAAAGGGGATGAAGTTTGCAGAGAGGAGGAGGAGGAGGAGGAGGAAAATGATTGTGGGGTCCTTGGTGCTCTCTGAGCTTGGTGGTTTTATTGCAGACGTTTCATGACCCAACTAGGGAACATCATCAGTTCTAGAAGAGAGGGAAATACATGGAAAGGAGGAGGGGGAGGAGGGGGAGGAGGAGGAGCAGGAGGAGAACTGTGAGGTCCTTGGTGCTCCCTGAGCTTGGTAGTTTTCTTGCAGGCGTTTCATTACCAAACTATGTAACAGCATCAAGGGGATGCATAACTATGTAAATAAATATGTGAATATATGCCTTAAACTGAATGTAGAAATAACTGTAATAATACTTAGTAATAACCTATACGTCTAGAAATGTGTCAATGCGAGTGAACACTGTTATGAACATGCTGTAATGAGTGGAAATGTGTTTTTAATTGTGAAAATATGTTTAATAAAGATTTTTAAAATTAAAAAAAAGATACTAGAAGGGGATGAAGATTGCAGAGAGGAGGAGGAGGAGGAGGAGGAGGAGGAGGAGGAGGAGGAGGAGGAGGAGGAGGAGGAGGAGGAGGAGAAGAACTGTGGGGTCCCTGGTGCTCTCTGAGCTTGGTAGTATTCTTGCAGACGTTTCATTACCAAACTATGTAATAGCATCAATGCTATAAGATGATGGAGTTTGCAGAGAGGAGGGGGAAGGAGGAGGAGGAAGAGGAGGAGGAAGAGAAGGAGGAAGAGGACAAGGATGAAGAGGAAGAGGAGGAGGAGAAGGAGGAAGAGAAGGAGGAAGAGGAGGAGGAGGAAGAGGAGGAAAAGGAGGAGGAGGAGGAGAACTGTGGGATCCCTGGTGCTCTCTGAGCTTGGTAGTATTCTTGCAGACGTTTCATTACCAAGCCAGGTAAGAGCATCAGTGCTAGAAGGCAAGGGGGGTTTGGTGCAGGTATTTACTGCCCCTAAAGAAATGCTACCTAGTTTAGCAATGAAACGTCTGCAAAAAAACAACAACCCCCCCCTCAAACCGAGATCAGGGAGCACCGAGGACCCCCGTCAAACTCTATTTAAAAGGTGACTCTGCGAATGGGCAGGGGAATAACCACGCCGCGTGTTGCTCCTGCATGTAAACCTCTTGGCGCACCTGGATGACCCTGGGATGTGGTCGAGGCGGCGGGGCGGCATCCCTTCTGGCTGGAGACAGTGGGAATCAACCCCGCCGCTGCCCCAGCGCTCCATTTCCCTTTCAACAACGAGGCCGAATTGTCAGGCGCCGCCGGAAAACAGGACACGGGAGAAACGTGGCCTCTTGGCCCCCCCCCTCCAACACCCCTCCCCTCCCCTCCCCCGTAAACAACGGCTCGCCTACCGTCGGTGAAATCCAGAGCGTAGACTGGGAACCTCCGTGCGATGTCATCAAAAATCCCTTTGCCGACATTGCAGAACTCGTGCAGCTGAGGGAAGGAAGGAAATGTTTATTATTTTCGGGTCACACACACACACCCCCGCCAAAAAAAAACCCCACTCTATTGTTGGGAGGGAGAAGAAAAAAAGACCGAGGGCCACGCCGGCCTTTCGCCAGCCAGGCGGGACAAAATCCGCGGCCGGGCTGCGTTCAAAGAAAGGAGGAGCGGGCACCCTGTACGCTGGGAGGAACTTTTAAAAGGAAGGAGGGAGGGAGGGGGGGGAAACGGGGCCCTTCCAAAATGGCACCCGGGGTGCTCGAGAGGCACCGCGAAGAGGCCCAAGTGGGCCTGGCATTTGCACCGCAAAGCCATCGAAACCACCGCCAAAACTCAGGCAAAGTTGATTTGAGAAGAAGGTCTTTGAAGGTTGGGGGTTGAGTTCGGTGGTGGTTCTTGCAGATGTTTCATGACCCAGCTAGGTCATTTTGTCAGTGTTAGAAGGGAGTGAAGTTGAGGAGGAGGAGGAGGACGACGACTGTGGAATCCTTGGTGTTCTTTGAGCTGGGTGGTTTTCTTGCAGACGTTTCATGACCCAACTAGGGAACATCCTCAGTGCTAGAAGGGAGAAGGATTTGTGGAGAGGAGGAAGAAGGGAAGGAGGAGGAGGGGGAGATGGTGGTGGTCTTTGGTATTCTCTGAGCTTGGTGGTATTCTTAAAGATGTTTCATTACCCAGCTGGGTAACGGCATTAGTGCTAGAAGGGAGAAGGATTTGAAGAGAGGAGGAGGAGGAGGACTGTGAGGTGTTTGGTGTTCTCTGAGCTTGATGACGTTCTTGCAAGGGTTTCATTACCAAACTAGGTAACATCCTCAGTGCTAGAAGAGTGTGAGGTGTGTGGATTGGAAGATGAGGAGGAGGAGCAGGAGGACTGTGGGGCCTGACTTTGGTGGTTGTCTTGCAGGTTATTTCATCACCCAACAAAGTAACATCCTACTGATGTAGTAACAGCACAGCAATCAGAAACATCACTTGGCTAGCACTGATAATGTTACATAGCTGGGTAATGAAACGTCCACAAGAAAACCACCAAGCTCAGAGAGCATCAGGGATCCCATAGTCTTCCTCCTCTTCCTTCCTTCCTCCCTCCCTCCCTCAAACTCCACTCTCTTCAAGCACTGATGACGTTACCTAGTTGGGTAATGAAACGTCTGCAAGAAAACCACCAAGCTCAGAGAGCACCAAGGACCCCATAGTCTTCCTCCTTCCTTCCTTCCTTCCTTCCTTCCTTCCTTCCTTCCTTCCTT